CCGATCCTCTGTGACATACAGAGTAGCTAATGGAAAACAGTATTTTCCATTTTGGGTCATCATTTCCACTTCTTTTTTGCCAGCTAATAAGCTCTAAGAGCATTGTTTAGTTTGCAGGCCGTTAATAGTCTTACCTGACTTTCAGTAAACTTGAGCCATGACTAAACCTTCAAAATGTGGGATTCTTATGGGAATCAAGGCTGTCCACGTTAAAATAAGGCGAATAAAAGTATTGTCCTAGCGACCGAGTCGTCTTCTCCGTTAACATAACGGTCCGGGTCTTTCTGTAGTGACCGGTAACACACAGTTGAACAGATCATCTGAGATAGTTTTCTGCTTATTTAAACACTGGATAGAATCTTTAAGCAACATCTCAAGCAGACATGTGTGGATATAGTAAACAATATGTTTAAAGCGTATGAAATCCGTTCTACGATAAATAAGTGGGTAGACTCGCAAGGGGGAATATAAAGACACAAGGGAATAATTAAGTATTGTACAAACGATCCATTTGGAGTGAGAGGTGGCCCTATCCTATCAGTGAGACGCCAGCTGGAACTGGGACGCTTTCAGAACCCGAGTGACGAACGGAGGGGGGGGCGGAGGAACATGTAAGCGGTGAGGAGAAATATAACTTCGGTCTTCTTCGCTGACACACGATGACACCATTGCCATCCGGGATCCGTGCCAAAGGGACCTCAGTTAATTCATACAACGCTGTCGAATTTGTGGTGCTTTACATTTCGTAACAAAGTATTAGGTCGTTCTTCGTTTTGGGTTCTTTATCATATCATATTATAGAATCAAACGACTTTCCCTATCGCCTCCAATTCCTGGAGGAACATTCCTGTAAGAGCCTTACCATTGGGAAAGCATAGTCTGCCTGGAATATTCTTCATTATAACTTTATATCCTGGTAGATTCGCTTTTCTCATTCTCTATTTGCGAATGCTGTCTCATGAATCCTCGCTTCTGCAAAACTTCTGGCGTGCTGTGAACGTGATTATTGATCTTTCTGTGGTTTATCGATTTTTTGACGAAGTCGCGTGCCCTTGTCTCGTTCACATGCCCCCTGAAGGTCACACGGCTGTTCTCTGGTTATATTGCACGAAATAATTTTGAAGTTTTTACCGACGAAGACAGGGCTATCGAACAGGTGTGCATGCTCTTTTTTCGGTTGGTTGTTGACATGATTCCGCTGGTACTTAAACTACAGATTCTTGACTGTTGGTGCCTTTCTTCATGGGCGTGTGAAGTGATAGTTTTTTTTCATTTTCCGCCTGTTTTCCGGCCTGCCACTTCATCCCTTCATCGTGGTTCAGTAGTTATGCTCTGTAACTGCCTCCCAGATTTATCTAGGTTGGTGTCTTTTGCCTGCACATATCGTTCGCCGTCCACAAATTTCACGATGTAAGGAGGTTTTAAATCTATTTTTTCCAACCGCGTGCTGTCTGAAGCCAACCTCTCTTTCGCCTTTTTATTTCTTTGAGCAAAAGCCTGCACGATGAAAAGGGGACGTGGGTTCAAGCAATCTGGTGGTACACAAAATTCTTGTTTTGCCTAAAATGTT